CTGGCTAGGTGCTGTTCGGTGCCGGCCCACGCACCTTCAGTGGGCGGAGGAGGAGAGTCCGGGCGACTCCCGCCGCCCCGCCCGGCCTGTGAGGGGGGAGGTCAGCGTGACCGCCCCCAGCCGCCCCCGTCTCCAGGAGCGGAAAGCCGTGAAAAGCGGGTACCCGCTGACGCTGAAAGCCGCTGGTGTCGCATACGCCCAAACCCATGTCACAGCGATGCGGCTGTGACAGTCTGAGGACGAGGTGATTGGTTTCTCTCCCAGGTTGTCTTACAACTGTCTTACAATTGATGCCGTTACGTATATCAATATCTCCTTGTTTATATGCTGGCCTATGTTACGCAACTCACTGACAATAATAATGACCGCTGGGAACAAGAATGACTTGCTGGATATAGAGTTGTTTGTGTTGTGGTTTGAGAGGTATTTTGTGCTTTTCAGAAGCATTGAAAAAAACCGAAAACATGTATTTACAGGGACAGGAAGGAATGGGCAGATGTTGAACCTGTCCCTCAAAATGATGGGCCAAATCCTGTTGTTCAGATCATCTACAGTGAAAAATGTAAGTTTTAAATACATTCTGCACTGAAAACTTAAGGTGGTTAAGTTTGTATCTGCCCTTAACGTTGTTAAAGCAAGACTTCACATTTTAAGTAATATATTTTCCTAGAGTAGTACTGCAAAGAAAGTAATTTAATATTTATTATGTTGTGGTGGTTGTGTGTGCTGTTTTCACCAAGCATCACTGAAGTCAAATCTCCATCTGAGATATTAGTAGCCAAGGTTTTATTTTAAAATCATATGGCTTAAGAGGTAATACAGCAGTCTAGTTGACATAATAAGGCATTTCTAGCACACAAGTGGAAGACATGTGAAGCTACTGTGTCTGGGGAAATAGCGTAAGTAAGCAGCAAGGAACTTTTAGTATTGTTTTGGTATTATTCAGACATTGTATCTTTAAGTTATTTTTGCAGCTTTTCAGTATACTAATATCATTTAGAGGTTTCAATCAACAGTGCTGTCAGAGCAATATGTGGCTATCATTTTAAAGTACACAAAATAGGCAGTAACTTCAAAGAATCATTAACCTTACACCCCAATCAGGCCATTGTCTCATAGCCTTGGATAAGATGCTGTTATCTATTTAGTTCGAGATGTCTATGATTACTTCCGGGCTGTTCTGCAGCGGGATGAGAGAAGCGAAAGAGCTTTCAAGCTAACAGCAGATGCCATTGAGTTAAATGCTGCAAACTACACAGTATGGTAAGTGATAATCTTGGGATTATTTCTATCATCATTTGATTGCCAGCCTCTTATATCTTTGTCAGTCTGATCAGGGCATGACTAGTTGAGTTTACACAGAAGAGCAGTGTAGACTTCCAGTGAGCCTCTGAAGAAAGCCTTTGTTCAGTATTTTCCGTGTCTCATTTTGATTCAGTGGTTTTCATTCATTTGGCTTTGAGGATATTACCAAGCAAGGTCAGCATTAGCCACAAAAAAGAACTTTGCTGTTTGAAATTAGATCACTTACCTGATAACATGGCCTTGGCAAAATGCTGAAGATACCCTCGAGTTGATTTCAAGAAGAGGCATAAAAGCATGATAGCTGCTACTGCCTGCTAAATAATTGTATACTTACTAAATAGTGCATTTCAGAGGATCTGTCAGGTTAACGTTCAGTTAGGTAACGAATAAACAGTGAATTTTTCATATTCGGAGTAGGACCTTTTAACTCATGAGTGCTAAGAAGTACCTCTTGTACATCTTTATTCCACTAACTTGCATAAAATCAGAAAGTTTACATTATTTTAAGCATGTAAGTCATAGCTTCCATGATGATAAGACTTGTGTGGGTAGACAGAGGTTAATTTGAAACAAGATTGCTGTGATTTTAGATTACATACTGTTGTAACCAGTTGTATTCCAGTTCTCCGCTGTTCGATAATGTTTGAATTGCCTTTAACAGACCTGGATACGTGGGTTAGGTTTTTTGCATTCTTTTTGACTCAGTATCTATTAGAAGAACAGTTCTTCTGTGTTCTCCTCTGTGAATTTTAGGAAAGTCCTGTTGCAGTGTTCAAATGCTTGACTTTTATACAGGCATTTCCGGAGAGTCCTCCTGCAGTCTTTGGGAAAGGATCTCCATGAGGAACTTAAGTATATTACAGCTATCATTGAAGATCAACCAAAGAACTACCAAGTCTGGTAAAATCACGTTTTCGGTTCTTCGGCAGATAATTTTTGTTTTGTAAATTGTCTAGAATAAGTTGTGATCATTGATCCTAAAAGGTGTTTCCTCCATCTACTGCAGTGACAGTAGTGAAGGAGTTAAATGGACTTGCATCAGTGTCACTGCCAAAGTCCTCTCTAGCAGTTTCTTCTAAACATATGATTATGACATGTTAAAAAGATCTTGTTTTAATTTCAACTTTTAAACTGTCAAAATAAGTCTGGCAGATCAAAAAAATGACTCATGAAAAGGCAAACAAAAGGACAAATAGAAAATAGTATTTTTTTCTTTTATTGGCTCTTGGAGTTTGCTTAACTGTTGTTGTTTTTTTCCCAAGTGAATGGGAATAAGCAAAACAGCGGCGTTGTTATTGCTAGAGATACTATGTAGTGCTAGAAAATTTTATTCTGCTGAAGACTTTAGCCATGAGTGTTAAAAGTGGAAACATGTTACTTCAAGTAAACATAAGTTGTCTAAAAGGAGGTAATTGGCCAATATGTATGTGTAGTTAAAATTTGTTATATATAAGTATACATTATATATTTCTCAGAGCCAAGTGAAATGTATATTTAATTTGAAGTATTTAACTTCAAAGTGGGTTTTTTTCCTAAGTATTACAGTTGCTATATGCAGTTTTAATGCAGACCACATGTTCACAAAAAACGTTCAGACCATTCTAAAAATAATTTCCTCCTTTGTCATTAGGCATCACAGACGGGTGTTGGTGGAGTGGCTGCAGGATCCATCCCAAGAGCTTGAGTTCATAGCTGACATTCTTAACCAAGATGCCAAAAATTACCATGCGTGGCAACACAGACAATGGGTTATTCAGGTATTGTATCCATGGAATTCTTGATTCAGTAAATAAGCTGCTCAGGTAGTAGAGTATTCCTTCTTAAATACAATCTGAATTGCATTTGGCACTTGTTTCTTAAGGCTGAAGGGGGAAAAACAATTGCATTTTAATGCGTGGTAGAGGTTAGCTATAAACTTGCCTTATAGGAATTGAGTTCAAAAAGGTCTATTGTTGGCTGTTTGCTGTTATGTGTGTGAATTTAACTATGAGCTAATATCATTGTGTGCAACTGAACAGCGTAGCGTGTTCTTAGTGCACCCTTCCTTCTTTTTCTTTGAACTTCATGTTGCTTTCTTTAAAAAAAGTCTCTGTATCTAATGTTCAGAGAACTTAGGAGCAAGGAGAATATATTTTAAAAAGTAAACCCTTTTGATTGTGATATTGTCTCTTCCTTCCTTTTCCATAGGAGTTCAAATTATGGGACGATGAACTGGAATACGTAGACCAGCTTTTGAGGGAAGATGTGAGAAACAACTCTGTTTGGAACCAACGACACTTCGTAATTTTCAACACCACTGGCTATGATGATCCAGCAGTCCTAGACAGAGAAGTCCAGTTAGTAATGCTGTTCATGGTCACATTAAGCATTCTCCATTACATGAAACCAAATGAATACTTTGACAGTCCCTGTGGGCTTGTCTTTCCTGGTTTTAATGCAGGTTTTGGGCTCACTGTCATGGGTAGCAGATCAAGTGTTAGTGCATATATGGATGTATTCAGTACCACTGACTTGTTGAGTAGTACTGAAACAAGCTATGCTTACCTTGGGCAAGCTGTTCTCGTGAGTCTGTCTTCCTGCCCTGCTGTTTTTTGTGCAAATAAAACTTAGCCTTTCATAGTCTACTAGCTGTAGTGGAACAACCTGCAGAAAATCTGTGACACTGGAACCACATAAGTTGTGCTGTTAATTAGTATCTTACATCCTACTCCTAGAAAGCTTGGAAGGAGAGACACTCCCAGTGTTGTGCTGAACTGCTTTTTTAGTAGTACAGTAGCCACAATGATTTAAAGATAAGATGGGCATGGATTGTAGGAAGAGGAATTGCTTTTTGTAAGGAATTTGATGCAGCTGGAAAAAGAAAGTAGCTTTCAGGGGTATGTGGTCAGCACAAAGACAACTACCTGTGTGAGTTTGGTAGTTTTGAGGAAAATGAGCTTTGGAAACTGTTTTGAAATGGTATGTTTGTAACTGAAGACAGACTGGGCTTCTAGCCACTTACTTTACTACTGATGGTGGTAAGGGAAGCTTCCTTGTATCATTTTCACATGTCAAACTGCTGCTCAGGGTTGATGTTTAGAAGATGTTTGTCTAAAGCGAAGCAGCAATGAAAAGAAGGTACTACAATTTTTTGGAGTTATTCTTCAGAAGAAAGACTGAGTCTCTGAATAGGTCCATTGGCACATTGTTCATAGAGGATCCCAGCCCCTACCATGTTTCATGGTTTTCTTTGGAAACTGCTGTAAGTTGTACTTCTGTTCCAGTTCATAATTTTCCGCAGATTAATACATCTGAACCATTTCCATGAGTCACGCTTGGATATTTCCAGCCTTTTGTCTCCAGAGGTTAGATCTGACATCTTCCTTTGATCTGTTTATACATGGTGCTATGTTCAGGATAATTGGGTACCATCTTAAGAATCAGACTGTCTAAGGTTAAAACTTCCCAGATGTCAGTGTAGAACTCTAGTTGGGCTGCTTGTTGCTTGATAAACTTGATCTTTGTCATAGTGACTACAGAAGGTTAAAAAAGGTTTTGGGTTGGTTGGGTTGTTTTTTTTCAGTACTACTTACAGAATTTTTTATCAGCATCTGCTCTGTCTGAAAATCAGCTGAATGTCTGGTTATGCTGGTGAAGGGCAGAAGATAAAGTATGTTTTGTGAAAATGAAATGTGACTTTGCAACTGTATGGCAGATGCCTCCTGTTGCTACCTAATTGCTACTTTAAAAGAACTGCTGCAGAAGGCTGCGTTAGCTGAAAGCCCAAGCTCTGCCTTTCTGTGGGTTTGCTGAAGCGCAGCCTCATGAAAATAGTTCTGCAAATAGGTATGGAACATACCACGTGCAGTCATATTAACGTAGCTTACCCTGGGCTTCAATTACTCTAGCCCTTTTCAGCGCCTTGCCATTTCTGAGCATCAAGAGAGTATATCATGTTGTTCCTTAGTGTTATTGCTCATAATTTTGAGAACTGTTTCATTATTGTATGCAAAGCAGCAAATGGAACACTTCAGAATTTAAAACAGTTCTCACGATGTCTGCCTCTCTGAGGCGGTGATCTATGTCCCAGCTGAGATGATCTGCGAAATTCTAAAATACAGACTAGAGGGATGTATTTGGGAGCAGCACATTCAGGTAGTTTCTAACTGTTGTTAGTGGATGCATTCATGACCTGTTACCTTTTTTCTCGCAGGTACACTCTTAAGATGATCACAGCAGTGCCACATAATGAGAGTGCTTGGAACTATTTAAAAGGGTGAGGCATCCTCCTCTCTGGGGCAAAGAAAATATCTGTGGAAAGTGTCTTATGCCTAGCTCCTAACTGGAAAGAGCTTGTTGCTGTTCATTCTAGTGTTGTGTGCTTAAGCGGGCAGGGAAAAACCTCCACAAAGGGTTAATATATTAACCTGATTTCTCTGTAACTTTCCACTAAGTTTCTGGCCCTGTAGTTCTTGTGGGAGGATTGCTGGTACTTCTGATGCTTTTAAAAACTTTACCTGTCATATTACTGGGTTCAAGAGCATAGAGTAGGAAGTAATGAGCATACTTTCAGTCTAATTTCTGTTCAGTTGAGCATAACTATACTAGCTTAGTAGAACATGAAGCTGTATTACTGCTGCATGCTACTTATTTTCTGCCTTACTTGTATTTGCACCTTATTTCAAAACAGATCTCCAAATAAAGGAGTCGTAACAAAAATGTAATTCTTCACACCAGATATCCCAGCATTATGTTTCAAGTCTATTAACCTCTGTTCTAGGATTCTACAGGATCGTGGTCTTTCTAAGTATCCAAATCTGTTAGAGCAACTGTTGAATTTGCAGCCCAGCCACAGTTCACCCTATCTGATTGCCTTTCTTGTGGACATATATGAAGATATGCTCGAAAACCAGTGTGATAACAAGGAGGAAACACTAAACAAGGCATTGGAGGTACATTTTGAGAGCTTGGGTTTGCTTCTTAGGGATGACATCTGTTGCTCTCTTGTTTTATATCCTTACAAAATGGGATTGATTTTTGTAAATAGAACAGGTTACTTGGTTATCACAGGACCTCTATGAAGAGTTGAACATGAAAGCCAGATAATCACAAGGGTCTCATGAATTTATTGATAAATAACTTGCCAGTTAAAAAATCACTGTAAGTTTTCTTCATCTGGTAGTAAGGGAAGGCTTGTAATATTGCCTGCAGGAGAAAGGAGATGTTTGAACAATTGAGGAGTTTCCTATTCTAACTTGTTAGCGTGAACTTTCTTCTCTGTAGAATCTTGTCTCAGAGTATCTGAGTCTAAACAGAATCTCAAGCTCCCTTTGCACTTCTTAGCTCTTTCTAAGAAAGCTGGCAGAATTAGCTGAAAGGGCAGCAGGCCCTGGGGACATCAGTAAGGAACATTTCCTACAGAGAATAAATGACTTCTAGGAGTGTTGTGTATCTCCCTGTGCTTCATATTTTGGGAACTCCTTGATGTCATTTGCAGTATAGTTTTTACAAGAACACTTTTCATTCACTGTGGGACAGACTGGAATTCAGTGTAATTAGAGCTGCAGTTCTGTGAAGTCTCTGTGTTCCAGCATCATTCTTTCTCAACATTTTTCCTTTGTTGTGTTCCAGGACCAGAGTGTAAATAAGTGCAGTTGTACCTCCCAGATTCATGTCCCTTTATACTGTTTCACTGAGTTTGACTTCTTCATCTATTTAGGTATCAAAGCTCCTATTTCTCAACTCTGGTTCACTGAGTAAGGCAACGTCATCTGCATAATAAAAGGGAATTGGCTAGAACATGTGTAGAGAGTGCTCATACCATGTAAATTTTACACAGCATGTCCTGTGAATAGGGCTGCCTTCTGCTGTGCCTCACTGCTCACCTAGGTAAAAATAAATCAAAAATCAGAACATGTAGAAGTATCTGTATAGCACCAGCTCTAACATGTTGTGAGAGAGGGTTACTGACTTGTATGGAGAATCCTTTTGTGGCTGTCTGCTAAGAGCAAAAACATGAACAAAATATCTCCTGTCAGTCTGTTGAGAGTACTAGAGGTTGAAGAGCCGGATGTTCCCCCACTGTTTTGAATGAAGTGGTTTGCAGCTTACTAGATCACTGAAAGACAAACAAGCTTGTCAGGAAATCACATGTATACTAGAGTATACTACAGGCTGAATAGGCTGAGGTAGGTGATGAGTGGTAGGCATGAAAGGAGTCACAGGGAAGCAGTTGCAACTGAAACAGGACTGGAGAGGTTTTTGTGCAGTGTCAGGTTGGTTGACTACCAACTGGTGTTGATACCAGTTTGAGGTCATTGAACAGTTGCAAATCTGGTGAATGAAACAAATGTTGCTAAGAAAGGTGTTTCTAATACTGGCTGAACCATATATTGCATGCATTTTATAAAAATAATTAACAATTCCATAAGCTTTTGATATAATGCTCCAATCTCTCAATTTTCTTTTATAGTTGTGTGAAATTCTGGCTAAAGAAAAAGACACCATCCGAAAGGAGTACTGGAGATACATTGGAAGGTCCCTTAAGAACAAGCACAGCTCAGGCACTGAACAGAGCACTGTGACAGACAAGCAGCAGTAACCGAACATGGAAGAAAACAGTGTTAAGTTCTCAAGCTCTTCTAAAGCAGTAGTAAGTAGGGTCATCAACTAGTTTAAAATTCAGTGTAGTTATTATTCCCCTGGTGAAGAGCTATTGCAATGAAAGAGGAGTGCGGAATGCTCTATAGTCTTGGGTTGCTGCTGCTACTGGTGATAGTCTAGGTGCAGTCAAGAAATATATTAAGACTTAATTATTGAAATGTACCAACTAAAGGGTTTTTTCCGTATTAATACGGAAATAAATACATAAAGCTATACCTACTATTTATAAGGTACTAAACAAATTTCTCATGCCCTGGTTTATCCACTCACAGTTCCTAACACAGTCACATGACAGTAATGACTGCAGATAACTTGATATGAAGTTACCTATGTCGGATTAGTGCAAGCAGGCACTGCAGTTGTTGCCTCGTGTGGGAGCAATTTGCCTCACTGACAGCACATGGTATTGCATGCAGCTAATACCAAGTGTCATTTCATACTAAAACCAGATAACTTAAAGCATTTGTCTGAAATTTTTTTAATGTGTTTTGTTTTGGACTGTAGATGTGCATAGTCTGTTCTTCTCAGATGCTAATAGAGATAAACATAAAATATCCCCTTTTAAGGATATTGGATTCTATTGCACTGAGGTGTCTTTTGCACTGGAGTATTCTCATCCCAGAAACCTTCAAGATACTCAGGGTATTCACTGGAGCCTTGAATTCTTATCTGCGCAGTCAGGAAAAACGTTTTGAGGACAATAGAAGATTTGCAAGTTTTTTCTTGGAATTCTGTTCAGACAGCTGAAAATCTGTTGGTCTGTTTTTTTTCTTTACCATTTATAACCAGACCAAATTGAAGTCATAGGTCAGAAGAGATTACAACTAACTGGTTATGTTAGGTATCTTCACTGAACCGGAAGGGAAGGAATGGTTTTATTTGGGACCTATTTGCATTAAATGTCTTGACCTTGTTGCTCCTATAGGCTTTTCATATCTTTTCCATGCATATATTCATCCAAGAAGTATTTTTTCCTCCCCTTTGTGAAGGATAGAAAGCATCTGCAGTACAGAACTGCAAAGGATGTGAATACCTTTACAAGAAAACTGCTGCATCTGCCCTGCTTTCAGTAAATGGCTATTGTAAACTGTGTTCTTAGCATAGACTGCTTGTCTGATAGGAAATATTTTCTGGAGATGATCATAAAGGGATCAAATAAATACTAGTATTTATTCCATAATAGGAACAGTCTTTCTGATATTGACCATTAAAAGCTGCTGCTGTAATTTTAAACACTTGAAATACGTTAAATACGTATTTAAATTTAATAATACGTTTTTAAATTTAAAAAACAACTCACGGGGAGTTGAATTAATATATGAAAGCCATGTAAATTTTTTTAATGTTTTTGCCACTTTCCCAGCAGTAGAGAAAACATTTTTCAGTGACATTTTACAGAACATTTAAAATGGACATGAACTTCAAACTTTTGGAGACTTGTTACCTGCTTCTTTTTTTTTTTTTCTGGTGCCTTTTTTGTGCTTTTTTTTTTTGGTGTTTTTTTTACCACAGTTGAAGTTTCAGCATAGAATAAAAAGTCTATGTTTCTACCCCCATGAATTGTTCCTAAGTGAAACTACACTAAATACAGAGTACTGATTAGACAGGATGTTCAGGGTTGTCAGGACAAAGTAATATATTTGCCACTACCAGTTAAGAAAGCTCAGAGGGATACCACAGACAAATGCAATCCTTAAGATAAACATCATAAGTGAAGAGGGAACAGAATTTTGCCTCTGCATATGGTGTTACTGTGTTCTGATATCTTTCATAAACAGAAATCAGAGGGCGCTTGAAATAAGGCAGAGTATTCTTCATAGACGCTGGCATGAATTTCAGAGAAAATAACTCATCCCAAGGTAACATGATAAACAGTGTCCACTGGGACAATGTATTTTCACATGTGACCTCTTAGTCACAGTCTGAGAAAAGATCATAGATTTAGCCCTATTCTGTGTCAAGAATGGTAGGATCTTCTGACAAGACTCTTATTTTCTTATGGTATGGTCAGCCTATGGCCTTCTCATGCTTAAAAATTATGTCTAGAAGTAATCGGTAGAGAGTCGTCTATGGACAGTGTTAATCTGTTTTATACTGGTTATACATGCATAGTGATACTTGCAAAGATAATGCCACTTCTGAGCTAAGTTTACCAATGAAGGAATAACCAGATACGTACTGTAACAGAACAGTATCTCTTCTCACATAAAACAAATGTGTGACCAAAAAATCGTACAAATCCTAAGAAGGAACCATGCTGGAGACTGAAGTCCAGTTAAAGAAAAAAGATCATTATGCTTTAACAGAAATGTTTGGTTTTTTCTGTCAAATGTTTGTTTACTGTTATTTGGATTGCAAGGAAGCTCCAAAATTCTGTTCAAAAGGCACCTCAGTTTTGTGGTAGTTAGCCGTACTCAGAAATACTGAGCTGTCAGAGCTGCCCAGCCAGGTTTCAACTGCAACTACCCAGCCTTTATTCTAAAAATGTGTCTGAGACAGAATCTTTCTCATGGAAGTAGGAACTTGACAAAATGTATGAGCTGTAGAGAGAAGGATCTTACAGTAGGAAGTGTTAGATGACTTTAACATGTAGGCATTGGTACTGACTACCTGTGGTCAGGGTAAACAGCAAACTGATTTCTCCTAAGGGTTCATCTGTACAAGAAAATCTACTGTTGTTACTGATTGTGTCTAGTGATGTGACTCTCATGTACAATTTTATTACTGAAGAGCTGTGTCTAAATGGAAAACTGTATTGGTACAACTGTCCTTGTAAATCATTGTAATTGGAACATTCAGTGGAGTACGGAGAATTATTAAAGCACGTGAAATAATTTCCTTTGCCTGCTTTCATCAGAGGCTGATGTTCTTGCCTTGGTCTAGCTGTGTCTGTCTGTCTAAGCTGTTACTGACTTCCACTTTATTGTGTCTGCAACTTGGCTGCAAAAACAGCGTGCGAGTCTTTCCTAATCTATTCAGGACAAAAACATCTCCACTAGCACAAAATGTTTCTATCGGTTGCTGTGCTGAGGCAGATTAGGAGCGTGCTGTTGAGCTGGACCTGGTGTGGGAGCAGTACCCTCCAGCAGGGAAGCAGTGAGGTTTCTAATCACTCCCACCACGTGAAGTACTTCTGCCCAAGTGCTAGCAGGCAATTCATGCAGTGCAGTGGCAACAAGTGGCTTCTGGAGAGATGGACCCCTACAAGAGCACAAAATGCTCCTGTCGTTTTTAGAACAAAGGGATAAGAGAACAACATTAAGTGATAGTGTGGAGCCATCCCTTACGGGCTCACACAAAGGCTTCACAAATGCTGGTGGACTTGCCTATGTGCAAGTTCAAAACAGGCAGAGGAGACACTGCAGGTGTGGTTTTCTTGCCTTGTGCAAGCAAATGGAGAGAAAAATATCTTTACTAGCACCTTGAGGCACATGTCTCAGGTGTTGTCCCAGATAATGGCATGGTGGACGCAATAATGTGAAAAACGCTCTTCAGCCTAGCTCGTGCCCTTTTCTGAACATCAGTGCCTTCTGCACATGACTGGCATTGTGGGGCGCTTTGCTCTTTCTATTCCAAGTCTGGTTTTAGTTGGTGATCACCACTGATTACCACTGTGGCTTTTGGGTAGGTACCAAGTTTCCCTAGCGTATCTTCTATTTAAGGCAGATTGATTTGGGAAACTTGGGTAAGATGATGTTTGGCTGAGTTTTGGTAAGCCTGTTAATGTGGCAATATGGCAATTTATTTTTAGTCCACAGGTGTCAAATATCCTTCAATGTTTAGTTTTTCTGGTAATATAACTTTATTTAAATATCAAGTTCAAAACATTTGCTTTCCCTTTAAGGCTGTACTGTCAGGCTTTTGGTACAATATATTCTAAAGGCATAGGGTAAAAAAAATTGCATTTGAATGTAAAAACTACATTATTTTTGTCCTATTACAAGGTCCTTTCCGGAATCCCTGGCAGTCTGGACTGGTCTGTATAATTCTGGTAATGAATAACATTGCCCTTTTAATGTACTGTGTGTACATCTACGTTAGTACACTCAATACAGGTAAACAATGGATGAAATCAGAATAGAAATCTCTAAACAATCATTAGCTTATCTAATGCTTAAGCATTCAAATAGGGATGATCTGTACCTAACAGAAGTCACAGTGTAAAAGTGACGTGGTTGTTTTCTCTATTCATCCCTTCTCTGCTCTTAGCATCCTTTGATCTTAATGAATCGCTTGGCTTAAGGACATACACCCTTCAGACACAAAACTGTATGAAAACTAGGAGCCTGTTCCTGGACTAGAAATGATGCTGTTGACACTGTTGAGAGGAACATATTTGCAGGTTCTGGGCCTCCCTGGGCCTGATGTGAAAAGAATATCTTACTCTCTGCTGCTAGGGTGGGCCCTGAATTTGCAGAAAAGGGAAAAAAGTAGAAGAAAAAAAAAAGCATTATAGTATGTAAAGACAAACACAAATGTCTGCATGTGAACATTGAGGACGAGACTGCCAAAATGGAGGGTGCATGCACTTTAGGTTTCTATAAGTACTTGGCAAGAAGAGCTAACAGAACCTTCACCAGAGTTAGCTAGGAACTCTACCTCAGGACATCTAGATGTCTACATCAGCTGCCGTAGGTAAGCTCCTTGGGGCTAGGACTCTGGGCTCCATTACGCGTGTCACCCATCACTGTTCCTCAAGAAGCCATGTGATATAAGCCTATCCAAGATTTCAGTCTTGGGTAATTAAAATCCTTGCTGTATCATTTTTCTGCTGCACAGCAGCAGGGAAAGTGGATGTTAATTGCTAGATGGCAACATGAAATTCACCCCGAGTTCACAGATGTTGGCTATGTGCAGGCAAGCAGTGTTAACTAGGACAACTCTTTCTCTGTGCAACATCACTAATTTCACACCTGCTAATTAAACGTGGACAAGCAGCTGCTTGGTAAGTCAATAAATAGCACTACAGAGGGCTCAAGCACAAGTATCCTGGGAGGGGCCAAACGGTCATCTTCACTAAAAATTGTTGGTGTTAATTAGAGAGCAATTTTTCATTAACTGAAATGGTGTCCTCTGACACTGGTCACCTTGTACCAGATCTGGACTCTGTTGAGTCCTGGTGTTCTAAAATAACCGTGTGATTAAACCTGTCCGATCAGAGCATGGGTTTTGCAGCCAGTTTACACCTATTGGAGATGTGCCTACACTCATGCACCTTC